CTGGGGAGGTGTAGGAGGGTGGGCAGGGGGCTCTCCCCTCGGCATGGCCATCCCTTGGGATGAGGAGCCGCTGCTGAGGCCATTGGTGGTTCCTGGCCATGCCAGTCCCTGGAGGACTGCCCGCTGGACGAGGACGAGGACGCCTTCCAGGCCCTGGGGGAGGAGGATGAGGACATCGACCAGTTCAACGATGACACCTTTGGGGCCGGGGCTGTTGGTGAGACCCCCAGGGGACCTCCTGACCCCCTTGGTGTGACCCCCAAATCCCGCTGATGTGACCCATGTACCCTCCCTGTATGCGACCCCGCTGCGTGACCCTTGATGTGACCTCCCCCATGCCCCCCCAGATGATGACTGGCAGGAGGCCCATGAGCGGCTGGCGGAGCTGGAGGACAAGGGGGTGCCGGGCCGGGACACGGACGGTCCGGCCGGGAGCGACGGGGACGTGCTGGGCGACCCTGAGGACGCGCTGGCCGAGCGGCTCACACGCCTTGTCATCGAGGGCGACCTGGAGGACCCAGCCATCATGCAGGCCGTGCACACCAGGGGACCTGCCCAGGTGAGCTCTGGGGTTCCTGGGGGGCTGCGGGGTTGGATCCTGCAGCCCCGTCCTGACTCTCTGTGCACTTCCCAGCAACCCAGAGCGCTGAATTCCAGCATCTGGGACAGCTCAACCGTGCTGCAGCGCATCCGGGGGCCTCTCCTTGCTCAGGTATGGGGGTGGGGCTTCCCCAGTGCTCCCCCCACCCCAAATCCCTGTGGCGGCGAGGTGGGTGGGATAAGATGAGCTTAGGAAGCGCTTCCAGCTCTGCCTGGGGTAGTGGAGTGTCTGGCTTTCCTCCCGCTGCATCCAGGTGGATGCGGTGTGGCTCATTGTAGACCTTCTTAGTCATCACTCCTTGGAGGCTGGAGGGATGGGGTGGGATGGGATGGGGGTGTTGTGGCTGCTCTGTGATGCCTGGTGACATCTGAGGGACGTCAGGGCTCCCAGCAGGATTTGGGAATGTTGGTGCCTCGAGGCAGAAGATTTTTGTCTTGTGGTTTAACTAACAGTCAGGCTTTGAAATGCTGTGTGACCAACCCACTCTTGGGTTGGGAAGTGACACAGAATTCCCACCGTATACCTTGTTATTCCAAACAGGGATTTTGGGATCCCCGGGAGATCCCAGGAAAGCACAGTGGGAAATTGTGAGCTGGCAGGAGGAGGGATGTGATGGGACGCGTCCATGCCCCCTGTGCCAGTGTGTGATCCGGGGGGGGTGTTCCCCTGGCAGGAGATGCCATCGGTGTCCGTGCTGGATTATGCTCTGCCCCAGCAGCCTCCGCAGGCTCGGGAAGAGGAGCGGGACCCCTCGGAGCGGGCGCTGCCCCGGCGCTCCTCGTCCCCCATCATTGGGAGCCCCCCGGTGCGGGCCGTGCCCATCGGCACCCCCCCGAAACAGGCCACCATCCCAAACTTCAACCAGCAGGTACCTCTCCGCTTCCCATGGCTCTAGGGGGTGCAGGATGCTTCCCGGGGAGTGACTGTGCCACTTCCCTCTTCCCAGATCCTGTGTCCAAAGCCTGTCCACATCCGAGCTGCCATGCAGCAGCGCTATCCCGCTCCCTACGGAGAGAGAATGTCCCCCAACCAGCTCTGCAACGTTCCGGTATCCAGCCGCTCCACACCCCTCTTTTTTTGAGATTGACTTCCAACCCCCCCCCCCCCCCAATCCCCTAGTGCCCCATTCCTGCGGCTCATCCCTGTTCCCTGGAGCCTGGCCTGCCTGGCTCATCTTCTTTGTCCCATCTGTGACCGGGGTCCCTCTTCCCATGTCTTTCCCCAGAATTCCTCCCTCCTGGGCCACCCATTCCCCCACAGCGTCTCTCCTGTTCTCACCCACTTGCAGAGGGCCCAGCTGCTCGGAGGAGCCCAGGTAAAGCCCCTTCCTGTGTTTCTCCAGCCCCTCTTTGGGCGGCATCTGCAGAATTTGGCTCTCCGTGGCTCTCTTCCCTGGGAATTCCCCCCCAGCTGACTCCAGGCGCTCTCTCTCTCCGCCAGGCCGGCCGAATGTCCCCCAGCCACTTTGCCCGGGTGTCCGGCCTGGTCGGGAGCCCCCTTCCCTCCATGAATCCCAAGCTTCTCCAGGGCAGAGTTGGGCAGATGATGCCTCCAGCCGGAGGGTTCCGTGCCTTTTTTGGGGCTCCTCCCGCTCCGCCCCCCTCACAGCTCCCGCACCCTCCAGGCCCTGGATCCCACCTGAGGTCGGTGCCGTCCCTCTCCTGGCCGCTTCCCGGCTCCCGGTGCCCACCCCTGACTCT